GGAGTGACTCTTGGAGGTTACACTTCGCCATCGACAAGTGTAAACTATTGCACCACAGCTGTGACTCATCTCCGACCACCCTAAGTGTAAACAACACTTATTCCTGTGTAAGGCGCAGTTCGAGACAGTTTAAGATATTCTGCTTCATTTAATTTTCTTGAGCAACTTGTATTCTTGCAGGCTTGTGGCAGAAAATCGATTGCGTGCATAAATAAATAAACATGGGAGACAGACAAAATACGGACCTGACCAATTAGTGCAACAAAGTCGGATGGTGGAGATTTTCAAGATCTGTTGTGTTTTCAATGGAGTGTTTGAGGTGCTCACTCACTCAAAAGCAGTAAAATATGGTGAAGTTGAGAGTAGAAATGAAAGTAAATATGGCCGTCAGTTCAAGTGAAGTAATACGAGCTTTCATGGAACCGTCTCTCGGAGACCTGCTTCCACACTTCACTTACACTTATCTTTAGGGATTCCAGACTTCAAGATTTTAGAATGTGTTATGCTGAAACTTGAAAACTGTACGATGGTGCTCGGAAATCTGAGAAGAGTAGACATCATAACACTGGAAAGCATCCAACGATCATCCAAAAAGCGATTGTTGAACATGCCTAATATTATGACTTACCATGAGCGCTGTGATGCTCTAAAATTGGAGCCGCTATGGCTGTGCAGATTCAAACTTAATTTGTGTCTTCTCTGCCGTTTACTTCTCGGATTAGAGTTTACAGCCCAGCCACAACACGAGTTTCAGACTACTATGCGCTATGAAATAAGAAGCAGCGAGTACATACTGCAAATAAAAAGTCCAATACCAAGCTGTGCTCAAACTTTTTCCCAGGGAAAGTTGCGTTGCTATGGAATAAACTCATCGAATATCAATGATTGTACTGCCTATCCGCAATTCAAACCGATGATCAATGTTCACCTGACTGTTTCAAATATTTTATAAACACTTAGCCTAAAGATGACTCTAAATGATTTGTATGAAAATGGTTCTGGATACACTTGAAAGTTGTCATATCCCCTTAACTGTCTCCATATTATAATTTTACCTACGCATGGATAAGTTCCTTGTGGTGTATTTTTAAACGATCTTATTACTACCAGTCTTACATACCGTCTAACCAATACGGTTTTTTCACTGCTGATGCACTAGTACGGAAATGTACCATGTCTTTTAAGCTGAAATCTCTGTACCAACGTTGTTACTCGGCAAGATTTTCCATCAAATTGTGATTAGCTTATCAGCAAAAGATTGTTATAATTACGATGCTTTTAATTCCTCATATTTTATATGCTTCCTTATTTCATTGTTAGCCACGATTGGGCTAATCTCTTGAGCCAAAATGAAGTATACCCATGGCGGGGCCTTCGAATTCGGCCGTTGCTGTTCTCGTTGGATTATTTTACACCACAGACTGCGGATTCTATATTTTATTTTAAGTTGGAAGTAATTCGTCCTTTCTAATCAGGCCTCATGGTCAGTGTTGTCCTACTCCGTCAACCATTTGAAAACATTACGTGTTACTGCCTTAAATCCGTGCCTTATCGAATACAGCCATAAAGTCAAGAACACTTGCAAAAGTATTACGAATAAACGTCTTGGAAAAAAGCGCAAACATCATGCTGGCTGGCAATCTGGTCTCAGTCGTTGTGCTGTCGACAAAGTGCAAGTCCCAGTATTCGCTCGCTTCTTGGTAACATCAGTGATCTCAATGCCATTATACGGCGAAATCAGTTTGTTAATACAGCAATCATTCTGTTACAAGAAAGCTGGTTGCATGCTGATGTGGAAAATGGGATAATTCAACTCGATGGTTATTTTCCCATCAGGTCTGACCGCCCCGGGGAGCCCCAGTTTCGTGATGGTGTTATAACTTACGTTAAACAATGTTGGTGCAATGCAGCAATCATAATATTTACGTACTCAACGATTTCTATAAGCTGCCATTTAGTTGAGTGCAAACCGAAGTTCCTAAGTGGCTTTCGATCAGTCATCCTTGGAAACGTATACATTGCTCCTGACACATCTGTATCGGAGTTAAAGCTTTTTGAAGACCAACTTTCTTCAACTCTACTGCTTAAGTTACGTTGTTCTATCTGTATTGTCGTTGGCAACTTCAACAGAAAGTATACAACATTCTTAAAGACACTTGGCTTGGTAGATCTAGTGACTGTTTCGACCAGACAAGATGCCCAGTTCGACGCTGTGTTCACAAATAAAAGACAGTTGCCTGCCATACAAAAGCGGGCTCCTTTGAGCAACTCAGACCATTGTATTTTAAAACTGTGTCCAGTCAGAAACAGCAGGTCTATCTTTTAACGCTGACCAGACGTCCTTACAAGATTATCAAACAGCTAAATTGCTCCTTGGCAAATATCACGAGGCTCCAGACGATGTTTCCTTTAACTGATTTTTCGGTCTTCAACGACGAGGACCTGTCGCTCGAACGTGACCATCTTACGGGCTACATCAAATATTGCTTTGACATATGTTGCCTTGTTGAAACGATCTATCTAAGAGCAGATAGATTTTCATCACCATTACTAAAGCGACTTCGAAGGATGAAAGAAGGGGCTTACAGGTGCAAGAATGCTACCCGTGTCAACAGTCTAACCACGGCAATTAAATCCGAGATAAAAAGATTAAACCAAGTATACGTCGAAGCAGTTCTAGGCAACCATAACTGCCGTGATCTATGGGGGCTTCAAAGGCAGTTCTGTGGTAAGAGCTTTTGCAGCCAGAGAGGTGAAGTGGATGTGGATAAACTGAATTCGGAGTTTAATTCCGCCTCACTTAGCTCATCGTTTTTACCCTCCTTCATTAGCTCAAGTCCAGCCGCGCCCTTCGATCAAAGCAACTTCAACAAGGAACTCAAAAGATCAAAGGCAACCAAAGCTTGTGGTCCGTTTGCTCTCTCCTCATTAACTTCGAAGGGGTGTGCTAATTATCTCACACTGCCTCTGACAGATCTCTTTAACATATGCCTCACTACGGGTGTGATCCCGGACATTTGGAGAACGGCCAATATCACTCCAGTACCAAAAACTGAATCTCAAAAGTTTGCCCAATTGCATGTACATCTGTGGTCCTAAAAGTTTTCGAAAGACTGTTAATCCCACGGATATTTTTAGCCTCTTCTGAAGACGATATCTACCAGTTTGCGTATAGACCCTAACGCTCCACATTGGATGAAGTGACATATGTTGTTCATTCTATAGTCTTTGCATTAGATCAAAAATGTAAATCCGTACGGCTTCTCTTCCTGGATTATTCGAATGCTTTTGGAAGCCTGGATAGGTCAAGGTTGCTAAACTTGCCATCCGAAAATAGAGTTCCCCCTGGTGTGTGTAATCTGTTACGTGACTATCTTACAGATCGTACTCACTTCACCAAGTCGAACGGCAAGAAATCCTCTATCCTCTGTGTCGACTGTGGTGTTCTACAAAGAGATCCGATCACCTTTTCTATTTTCCTTGTATATTGAACATCTCCCTATACAAACCACGTTTATAGGGTGTAAATATGCTGATGATTTTGTGCTGGGATGTATGTCCCCCACTAACCAGGATTCCTCATCACTTCAACGTGGGTTGGAAGATCTGGTGGAATGGTCTTCATCCAGATCTCTTACGCTTAATGCTTCTAAATGCAGGGATGTAATATTTTCTTTTATACGTGGCGATAAGTTGTAGTCCCTCATAGATTTCTCCCCCACAGTTACTGTGAATGAAAATCCCATACCCAGCTCTTCCACCGTCAAGTATCTCGGCGATTTTGTCCCGGAACCTTTCTTGGTCCACGCACGTCTGTAAAACTACAAAAAGCCAGAAAACTTTCTTTTTAAGCCCTCGGACGTAAAGTGCTTTCAGTACCTAGTACTTCAATATTCAGGTTTGTGACCTCTTGTATCATTCCACATTGGCTATACTGCTCTCCTGTCATTTCCCCTGGACTGCTTCAGAAAGACTACATCTTATTGATGCGATCTATAAAACATATTTCTAGATTCAGCGGCTTGTCTACAGATTCATTAGTTAATTTGATCATTTCTAGACATCTTGATGCCTGCAATGATTTTTCTTCTAAGATACTAACTGACCGATTTCATCCACTTCACAATGATCTTTCCAAAACACTTTCTCTTCTACTCGTTCGAAATTCAGTATTTTATTCTCCCGCACGTCATCGTATCGTAATACTGTTCTGCCTTATCTCTCACGTTTGCTTGTTGAGACAACAAAAAGCACTAAGATTTTGCGCGCTTGCTTGTTAGAGTAACAGTTCTGTCTTTTTCCCACTTTTCTACCCAAAGATGTATATTGATATTATCATTCAGGTGTCCGCATTGGCGTTGTAAATGCTGAAAATGAACCTATTAGGGTTCATGAAGCACATTTTGAGTTGATTTGACTTAGACTACTGTTACTGACTCACTAGCATACAACAAAAAGTGCTATAATTGGAAGATTTGCATGACGGAACAGGCTGAGGCTTCATCGCTCATAATGTGTGCATAAAAACGGCCCTTAAAAGCCTTTTTAAAAAGCTGATGACCTATTTGCCATTTTGCCACAGCGGCACAGAACCAGTTGGAGCATTGAAGTGCGGATGAAATCCATCGAGGGAATACCCTTCGTGGAAGCAGGTCCCCTGGGGGACAGTTCCATGGGTGGCCGTATTACTTGACTTGAACATGGTTGAATCTGCATTTGTTATTGCTCCCAGTTTCTTAATCTCCATGCCTTTTAAACGGATAATCACTTCAAAAACCCATTTGAGGCCATTGTACAAAACGAGAAAACTTAACTATTTTGTGCAGTCTAGTTGTACAAATTGAGCAGACCACCCGGTCGGACTGTGACTCGCACCGTCGAAGAAGATATAGCTTATTGCTCCATTAAAAAAATCAGTGTTTTAAAGAAGTTAGTCTTCCATGCTGATCGAGCAAAATGTTTATAAACACAAAGTCGGGTGAGGAAAATAAGTTGATTACCTTATAGAAGATGATATAGTAGATTGCCACACCGTAGATTACGGTCAGAAATCCATTTGCAATACTTCCAGCGGCAAACAGAAGCAATTTGAAAATCAACATTCCATCCAAGCGGAGTAAACCAGCCCTCCTGGACCATAACCATGTGCGAACCATTGCGTAGCAGGTCGCTACTGCTGAAATGACGCCCAGTGCAATGCGCAAGTTTTGGCCGAATTCGATTTCGTTCGCCATCGGCTGAACGTACTTCACCGAGAAGGTTACCTTATGAAACCATAAAAATGAGAGCACAACACTCTAAGCGTGACATATTAAAGCTCTTTAAGGAACTGCTTGCGGCAAACTAATGAACGCAGATAACACCGATCACTTTATATCATCGGAGTCTATCATCAGTGCATAAGCTGCAGCTAGTGTGTGTGTGTGTGTGTGTGTATTTGTAGAACATCGATAGCCTGGCTTAGCTTTCTCCCGGGTTGCGACTCATAGCGGGTGAAAATGCCCTTAGACTACGTGTTTAATCACTCAGGTTAGAGTGTTCTTTTCATGCGGTGCAGATGCTAGGTTTACAAAAGCGAGAGCATTTGTTACACAACGAGCTATTAGAAGGTGCTTTATAAGAGACTGGCTGAGGAAAACGCAGGCTTCAAATCGGGGGTTTTTTGGCCACTTCATTCTTTTACTCCCGAGTAGCCGAGGTTTAGCAGCTGTTCCATCTAACCCCGTTATTACTGTTGCATTTTTAGGAATAACATGAAACACTGGTACGTGCATAGCTCAGATTAGGTTAAAAATCACCGATCGCTCTATCATAGCTGCGAGACCTATAATATTCCAATGTTAGTGTGCAATTTCCAAAGTGTTGCGTGAGTATATAAAGTAAAAGCCCAGATATTTTAAATTGCAATCCACATTTTTGCTCGAAAAGTTCATTGCAAATTTACTGCTCATCATTGCGTCGCCTAGCAATAAGTAAAATATACACAAGTCTTGCCAATGTTGCACGAATCAATACACTTAGTACCAGAAGTCTTGTCCCTTTTTACACTGTTACTCGGGGACCAAGTGTCACGCCTACCGGTGAGAGAACAGCGCATTAAATTGCCAACTATCCACTAGTAGACGTTGATCTATCTCAAAGTGTCTCTCACTCGGTCGCGTTGTGTGATGGGGGCTGAAAATGCTGATGATTGGAAACCTTATAATGCCGACCGAACGTCACAGCCCAGACCAATAAGGAGTGACCATATTGCCGGAAGCCATTTTGGTCATCTAATCAAGGAATAGTTGGCTCGTAATCCCGAGCGGAATGCGACTATCAACTGAACGTGCAAGTGACCAATCAGGCGCCAGCAGAAGAAGGAGTGCAAAATCGTGCACCCTTGAGAAAAGGCTTGTGGCATTGGACTGAGGGAAGAAGCTAGCGGGCACAATCACGCCAATCGTATATGGACTAAGAAAACCAAGGTGGTTTAGACAGAGTGAACGTCGCGAGCAAGAATAAACCAATGGAAAGGGAGCCAGCGACACAATGCAAAAAACAGGATGAGCCATTGAGAAGGACTGTCGTAAATAGTGTACATATTCTATACATATTCGAGCGTAATCATAATAAGTGCCTTCGTGATTGCTACCCAGTATTCCCCCTCCCGGGAAGGCCACAAGGCACATGGGTGTGAACGACAGGAGTGATGGCCGTACGCAAGTGCACCTGGGTACAGGTGTACTTGCTAGTCCCGTCAATCGTGCAAACGCTGGATGGGCGCAGATGGTTGCGTTGAAGTCGACTGCTGCACGCCACAGGGCAAGTTCACTGATCGATACATACTGTGTTTCGGGTTGGTTGGGACGAATGCAAGCGTGCAACATCAAGACAGCAGTGCATCATTGCCGGGCTACTGCAGTAGAATTGTGGTGGCGCTTAGACAGACCTAACAGATCTGAGCAAGGGGTGTCCAGTAGATGCTTAGTGTTATTCCAGCTACTGCCAAAAGTGTTTTGGCAACGCTGTTGTAGACTGAAAGTTAGCTTCCAACAACCCATCTCAGCAAAATTGGCGTTCCTTGCACATATGAACTGTAACGTTTTGAGAAAAGAGTCTTGTAAAGTTACCCACTGCCGCACAGCCTATGCTTCCGTCGAAGGCATGAGCGTTCATTCCAACATATTCACTGATGAGGCAACATTCCATTAGCATGGAACTGAGCAGCTGCATTTCTAGGCAATATCTAATTCTCGCGGATGCTGAGGTTCACGTATTCGACAAAACGCGAACTTCATTGGCTCGCAAACCGATTGAAAAATCGTGAGATCACAGCACACGCATGTGGGTTCTCACGCATACTGTCTACCACAAACCAGTTCTCACTGTGGTAACTTTTCTGACACATATTGCTGCAAACTGCGGTTGCCAAATGCAAATGGATCGCTAAGCCACGCTTTCACGGTCTGTACTCTGATTGAAAAATCGTTGGACCATCTTGCTTTCCCCTTTATGTGAGCGGTATGATATTGTTTAGAAGCACACATCCCACGCCGGAGTCTGTACGCCGATGAACACGATAAAAATACGAAACCGCATAGCCTATTCTCACATCACCATCTCGTTCAAATCCTCCCCGTATTCTTAGGCATAACCATGAAAAACAAGTATTGGCATTTGGCACCAAGTTGCATGGAAGTGGTCAGTCTAAGCACTATTGAATCAGCTTTGCTCTTTGAATGCAATCTGGTCCGAGGCACCTTGGGCACCATTTGCCCGTGCACCAAGTTAGTCAAGAAATCAGTAATAACCGTGAATACGTATATTAACATAAACAGCATAAAATGGTGATAAGTCCGTTAACAAAGAGGCTCAACGTGTCCGTCGGCGTTCTGCTTGCAGTGCGGAACCACCCGAGGCAATAAGCTATAACTTTTACAAAGTTTCCGTGTTGGTGGCGCGGCATTCGTTGACAATACTGCCTTTCAGTGGTTCCAGTGAAATAGGCGTTTTCTTGTGAACTGTTCTTTTTAAATAATCCCATAGGAAAAAACGTAAGGGGTTCAAATCTGGTTACGGGGCAGGCTAATCTTTTGAACCTCGGCAACCAATTCACCGGTGACTGAAAATCTCACCAAGATAATCCCGCACCGTTTATACCTAATGGGAAGGTGCACCATATAGAAGCTATAACGGCTGAAGCGAAGTCCCCAATGAGAATCGGTAGTGAAAATGCCTCTATCTTGTAGCTCCTACGTTAGTTGTCATTGACAGTTCAGTCACCATGTGCGAACCATGATTGACAGATGAATGACGGTAATCAAAATTGAGGTACTTGGCAAACAAGCGGTTAACGTCTTGTCTGCAACGGAAGTAGGTTACCCTGGCTTGCAAGAAGCGCCTAACGCAGCCTACCCAGCTCCAACGGTTTCATCCACCGCTGTCAATTTTACTGCACCATGAGGCTGGATAACGTGCGGTACGTGCGTCGACTAGTTGAGAAGTGTGACCAAAACGGGAGCGTGGGCGACGCAAAACAAACCGGGGGCCGCTTACAGCCACGGATGAGGTGTCCACTTGCGCTGTTGTAGATGCGGTAGGCCGAAATGGTGATCTAAGCATTCAGAGAATTGCGCAGCATTGTGATACTACACGATGTTCTGGGCATCGTATATTAATGGAATGGAAATTCTGAAGGTCTCGTGCACTGCATGTACAAATTCCGAATCCATGCAAATGTGAAAAGCACCTGGAACTTGCCCATGTTATCTGGATACCATGGATGTGCTCACACTTGCTTGCGGAAGAGGCAGTTTTCCTTCTGCATGGCGCCGATAAGCGGCATGTTTAGGCTATCAATAACCAACGATAATGCATCGCCTTGCATGTGCTATATTTAGTTGCACAGCTCATGACATGGGTTGAGTTGACAGGCCGAAAGTTTATCGGACCAGTATTCTTTACCAAAATTGTGATGGGCAACTGGATTTTTTATATTTGTTAGCATCCTCCTTTAAAGGAATGTTGCAATCCAGGGTCATTTTATCGCCGCAGGTCGAAGGCTTATTGAGTAAAGTTTGGTGGCAGCAGGATGGTGCGCCTGCCCATTCTGCACAAACAGTAGGTGTTTAGCATAACCAAACTTTCGGTGCCAGTTAGGTCGGTCGTGGAGAACTTATGGATGGGATGCATTAGGCGCCTCTTGCAAGCCAGGGTCACGTACTTCAGTTGTATATAAGACGTTCAGCTCGTGTTTGCCAGGTAAGTCAATTGTGGATATCGCCATTCTTCTGTCAATCATGGTTTGCGCGTGGTGAGGGAACTGTCATCGGCAAGTATATATATATATATATATATATATATATATATATATATATATATATATATATATATATATATATATATATATATATATATATATATATATATGTATATATATATATATAGTTCCGGCTGTTGACTCTCCGCAGGCGGGAGACGGGTTTTCGGGTCTGTCGCACCATGAAGGACCGCTTTGAGTTCAACAGTCGAAGTGGGAGGCCTCTGGCGTACCGGTGTAAGTCCTTTGGCCTCCCAGCGTGGATGGAGCGGAAGAGATAGGCGATTCAGAGTAGAATGCATCGCGATCCTTGGAAACTCCGGACCGGATTTGGCGGGGAGTATATCGTCATGACCAGTTTATTTTATCGTCCAAATCCCAAATCCTCATTGCTTCCTATACAAATTGTTTCCCTTGACATATGCCAAAACCTAAGTTGACTGTTCTACTCATCCTATGAACATTGATCAAACCTTTGACTTTGCGCATTCAGCCAACCCTCCGTGATTCCTAAACGCTGTTTTGCTCACTTGGTTTGTTCACACGCCTTGCAGTCTGTTCACAGCCCGGTCGATTGGGCTGCGCGGGGCAGACACTTAGCCAGTCAGCGGTTACAACCTGCCTGTCTGTTCATATCGGGCCGTTCTTTCAATTCACGCCATTGGTGTATTTACCCTGCCAATCGTTTCCATCCCTGACCTTCCGGACTGCCTAGCCTATGTGTGTGTACATTCGGACAGTCATTGTGTGTTCTTGCCTTGTCTCGAGGTGGTTACTTTCGTTACGGCTTGGCCGCTCGTTCGCTCCTTGTTCTTGTCTTCGTTTGGCTTTGGAGCGGTCTTCTGTGAAAGTAGGAGACAGACATGTCCAACCTACACAGAACAAATTGGGCGGCCTGTGAGAAAGCGCAGATTACGGCGATGCCGTCTGCATACTCCAAATCCCGAAGTCGAACACCCGGAA